TGCACAAAATCATTATTAGAAAAGGTTGCTTTTTTGATTTTCAAAACCATATACTTACAATTTTTCGAAAAGACGACGCAAGTAGATAATATCACGATCCAAATTATTATAATCAATTTTGACATCGTCAAGTGCCTTTCCAAGGTCTTCCAAAGATGTCTAAAAAAGTGGACTATAATTAATATCTAATCATTTTCATAAATTATTCTTCAATTACTTACAACATTAAATGTTTTCAAGATTCTTATAACTTCTGCGGATAAAGCTTTCTTAGGTTTATATTCTTGCATCTTTGCTTCAAAATGCGATATCACTGATTGCCCCAAAGCTTCTAAAATGATTCCGTCGTTGAGATCAATTATGCCGTATTCGAGTGATGTTGTAGTTTTTGGTTTCGTCTTCTGGCATTTTTCATGCAAGCTCATAAGTACGCATTCTATCTATGTTCACATTATTTATTGTGATGTTGAACTTCCAAGGCGCCCAATCCATTTCGAAACTTGTCTCGTAAATATCAAGAAAACGTTTAAAAATATTCTGTGATAGTGGTGGTGGCGCATTACGAGGTGGTGTTGTGAAAGTATAACGAGGTGGTGGTGCTATAGAAGCATTACCAGGTGGTGTCGTGAGAGTATAACGAGGTGGTAGCGCTGTAGAAGTATTAACAGGTGGTGGTGTTGTGGTGGAAGCATCCTGTGATAGTGGTTGTAGCGCATTGTGAGGTGGTATTGTGGGAGTATAACGAGGTGGTGGTGCTGTGGAAGCATTACCAGGTGGTGGTGTGGTGGTGGGAGCAACCAACACCGATAGTGCCTTCTAAAATTTTGAAAAATCAGACAAAAAACAAAATATAAAAATTCTTAATTTAATCAAACCACCATATCCGCGATTATAATTACATTCACATCCTTCTCCACTTCTCTTTCGCGACTCTCAATCACCCTCTAAAGTACAAGATCTCAAGTCAGTATACCCGTATAAAGAAGTATAGAACAAATAATCGTCGTACATTTTCAAACCCATTTTTTAATTCGATGAAAGCTTGTTTGCGCTGATATTCAGCTTGTGCAACAGCAATCTCCTCACTCGTTTGAACTTCCTTCCAGAACAAATCAACAATAAACCTCGATAACAGAGACCTACCGGAAGGCTGGTATAACAGCCACATCGTAGCACCAATCTTCGA